GTAAATTGACTCCAATGCAAGTAATCGCAGCGATAAAGTATGACGGTACTCAGGCAAAAACTCCAGAAGAATCGGCGAAGATGTTTATTACAGAGACTTACCCCAGGGATGATCCATCTCAAGATAATGAAGAGGAGGAGTTCGTAAGACGCACTACGGTATACCCTCCCGGCACGGACCTGTGCCCACCATGGGACATATGGGATCTTCGCACTGCCGTGGACAAGCAAAAGATTGGTCGTGCCCCCGGTTTAGACACCATTGACGCGTCAATTTTCAAGAACAGTATTCCCTATATAGAGGAAAGATTGCTGGCTATTTATAATGATTGCCTAGACAGGGAATACTTCCCAAGAATCTGGAAAATCGCTAACGTCAAGCTCATTTACAAAGGAGGAGACAAAGATAAGCAATTAGCCAAATCTTATAGACCTATATGTCTCCTCCCAGTCATGAGCAAGGTGTTAGAAAACCTGATACTCACCAGCCTACGGCCAGTCTTCTCGAGAGCGAGCCATCCACGGCAGTACGGATCCTCTAAAGGCAGGGGAACCGCAGATGCCCTGCTGAGAGTGCGCTGTGATGTTGAAGAGAAGGCGGAGAAGTATGTTATGCTCCTCCTGTTTGACATATCATCCGCCTTCGATAGCGTCTGGTGGCCGAGCGTACTCCAGCAGTTGCAAAGGCATGAAGCCCCCAGCAACTTGTATGGCTTGATCAGAAGCTATCTCCACGATAGGACATTGAAGATTAAAGGTAGCTTCTATGAAGTAGAAGATACAGTGGAAAGGGGCTGTCCACAGGGCTCTGTCCTTGGCCCTGCCCTATGGAAACTGGTCTTTGACGAGTTGCTGGGAGTGCTAGAACAGGAGCGGTTCCCCGCCACTGCATATGTAGATGACCTGGCTGTTGTAGTGGCCTCGAATAGCAGGGCCAGATTAAAATATGAAGCTGAACGTTGTGCCAACCTTGTAGAAGAATGGTGCGAGAAAAAGAAGTTAAGGATGGCGGGTTCCAAGACTCAGGCCATCCTCTTGAGAGGTTCGACCGATAGGGCACACCCCATAACCTTGGTGATACAAGGTTCCAGAATATGTCCAAGTGAGGTAGTCACCTATCTTGGAATTAGGATTGGGAAAAAATTCAACGTGACGCCTCACTTGGATTACTTAAGGAATAGGATAACCTTAGCCCTTAATGGTCTCAGTCGCATAGGGGGGGCCTTTTGGGGCCTTAGATATCCAGCAACTATGTCCATTTATAAAGGAGTAGTTGTTGGTATCCTGAGATACGCGTCCCCCGCATGGAACCGGAATCTCTCGTACCGTCAGAAGCGCAAGTTGGCAACAATCCAGCGGATGGCCCTGCTTAGAGTAACCAGGTCATACAGAACTGTGTCCCATGAGGCGGTGCAGGTCTTAGGAGGAGGTATTCCTCTCGACCTCCTTCTGCGGGAAGACCTTTATCGGTACAACATTAAGAGGGATGACTTGGCGGATTTACCAGCAAACATTCGGGAGAGGATTTGTGATGACCCCAGAAGATGGAAGATGATCCTCCGGGAGGATACATTGGAACAATGGAATCGGCGATGGGTGACAACCCCAAACGGGTCCACACTAAGAAAATTCTTTCCCACCATTAAATCGCGCTTAGAAAAGAAATGGGTCCTCCCGGACTACTGGGTCTCACAGATCCTCACGGGGCATGGGGGTTTCAGAGCAAAACTTTTTAAACACGGTAAAAATATCGACCCCTTATGCCCCACTTGTGGAGTACCTGAAACCGCTGAGCACATCCTTGTAGCCTGCACCAGCTATGAGGCACTGAGGGCCAAATTAATGAGAGATACAGGGCTTTTCGTTCTTACAGAAGGACAATTACCCCAACTAATGTCTGAACAAAACTACCCGCACTTTAAAAGTTTCGTATGCGGCTGGAAAAAAACTGTGGGCCCAACCCACTTCTCCCTGGGAAGGCGTGAAGAAGCAGTACCTGGAAGGCCGCTAATTAGGACAGGAGAAGAAGATGGAGAACAATAACTAAGTGACAAAATTATCAAGCAGGCTGTGTGCACAGCAATTTAAAAATGTAAATAGATAAACATGCAACAGTGATTTGTTATACAATGTGTATCAAGTCACTGCTGCAAACTCCCGTATTGTCTTAAAGGCAGGGTAGGGAGGAAAATAAAATAAAATAAATAAATAAAATAGATATTTTCGAGGAGAAATTTGGAGAGGAAGCAGTCCAGATTGCTTGCTGAATAGTAGTGGTAAAGGAATTTCAGGGTTGTTCTGAGGTCAATTTTATCGGAAAGGATTTGATGAAAGAGTTTCCAGTTAACTGGGCCTCTGATGAAGGACGGTGAAGGGGGTTTAGGAATAGGAGCTATTGATAATTAAAGTATTAATGGACTATGATCTGAGAAAAGTTCGTCAAGACAGGTAAGAGAATGATTGAGGAGACCTAAACCACTGAGGATGGAAAAATCAAGGATATCAGGATTGCGGTTAGGATCAGTGGGTCAGTAGGTAGGTGAGTTGGGTGGAAGGAGACTGAAACGTTGGGTATTAAGTGCAGACAGAAATGTTCTGCCACGAGAATTCGTGGTTCTTGAACCCCAAACTTGATGCTTGGCATTTAAGTCTGCACCCAGGATGAAATGATGACCTAAGGAGTTGAGAGATATCTGAACTGGACTTTGGATATGGATCTGTTAGGAGGGCAATCTGCTGATGCAAGGATGACTGGAAAGGAGAAAGTTTTGATTACAATAGCGGTTGACTGTAGGAAATCTTGAATAGGTAATGGGAGTAAGTGATGGAGGAGGGATTGGTGTACGATGACAGCAATAACGGCATGTGCTCTACCGTCAGGATGGTCAGTACGGTATGTTAAATACTGTGGGATTTTTAAATACTGTTTTATGGTCATTCGAGTTTCTGTAATTAGGGCTACGTCAATGTTCTTGTCGTGTAGTAAAGCAGTTAGTTCGTCAACGTGATTTCTAACACCGTTCGCATTCCAAAGGAGAATGAACATGGGTTTTAGGATGTGAGTCATTTCATAAGGATTTTTTAAAGGAGGGATGAGGTGAGATACGAGATTTGTAAGGAGTGATATGAGTGGAGTAACTAGAGATTTGAAATCGGTGAGGAAATATGCTAACAAACTGGTGAGATCTGTTGCATTTGAAGGAGGAGGAATATGACGAATTTGAGGTTGTTGATGATTATGTGTGTTAGGATGAACAGAATATTGAGGTTGGGGCTGAGGTAGTTGCTGCGGCAGGGCTTCACATGTATTATTTGGGTTCTTACCTCCAAGTAGTTCGGAGTATGATAAATTATTATTAACAATTCTAGAAGGTTCTCTTCTTGGTCTGGTTGTCTCATCTTGAATCCGGTTCTTCTGGTATCTGGATTTGAGGTTCTTATAGGTTTGGCAGCCTTTGTAGTTGGCCGGGTGTCCCTCCTGGCATAGTGCACACACTGCAGGATCTTGTATCGGTTTAGTGCACTCCACAGATTTGTGCTGTTCACCGAATTTCACGCAACGCGGCAGATGGTGGCAATAAGTTTTCGTGTGGCCATACGACTGGCAATTGTGGCACTGCACAATTTCCTTCTTGGGGTATGGCTTCTCTATCTTCACGATAGTGTAGTACAATCTCTTGATATCATATATTTTCTCAATACCAGGTGATGGCTCTAGATCCACGAAAAATAAAGGTAGTGGAACTTTATTACTTACTCCTGGCTGCTCCTTATTTTCCTTCAGAACGTTGGTTACCTGACGCACTTTGAAACCAAGCGTTGCTAGTTCTTCTTTTATCACTTCATTTGGGGTTGAGGAGTGTAAATTTCTTGGTTAGATTAGTATACCATTCTTAGCGATCTCTCCTGTTTCAGCTGGTACGTATGGAAATTTGCATTCGTTTCTGACAGGTACTTCACAATTTTTCGGTAGGTTTCTGCAGTATCTGGTGTTATTTTTGTATCGTTGGTCCTGTTGAGGCAAGAATAACTGCCGGAGCAGATTTCGTTTAGTTGTGTACACAGTAGTTGGAAATTTTTGATATTTTTTACAAATATCGGAGGAGGCCTTGGTTCCCTGGGTATTGCTGCTGACTCCATTACTTCTCTGTCATTATGAAGCACTTGGAACGGGTTTGGAGTGAAGAAAGGAGATTCTTCAACCATTTCTTGCGAAGAGGTACCTGGTTGAGGCTGAGGTTCAGGACCTGAAGTTTTCACTGTGGTTATTGGAGCTATTTCTCGCAGGCAGCGACGAGTTCTTTGTTTCGCTGGTGAATCACGAGGGGTACTAACACCGTCTGACCGAGTCCTCTTAGTGGGCACCTTACTGGACATCACTTGCTGACAATGCCGCATATCATAAGAGAAAAAAAAAATTAAAATTAAAAAAAAATTAAAAATTAAAAAAAAATGTAGCAAACAGTAAATAACAACTGCTGTGGTGTACACTTCAACTGTATTCAGTAAATAATCAAAGAGATTCCGCTGAAAAATAGGCAAAAACTGAGAGAAGATTTCAGAATACGACCTTCGCATCAGCTGATCCACTGCCTTCTCCTTCTTATTTTTTAGGTTATTTTATTGTATTATCTATTGTATATACTTTTGATTATTATTTTGTTCTATATATTTTATTTTTTTGTACATATAGTGTGAATGTCATCCTACCTCACTATAACCAATGTCCAAGAGACAAATTGTTATAATACTCAATAAATAAAAAAAAAAAAAAAAAGATTTTACTCTTATCGCCTACCTTTTTTAAGGCAATTAAGAAAATTTCTCTGGGGAAAGAACTGTTTCAATTGCGTAATACCATTCGTCTCAACACGACCAGTTTAATAAATAGTATACCTCTTTATTAGAATTGTATATATTCAGTCAATATTTGTAACGGAATCGATGCTGAGAGAAGGTGGGGATGAGATACAGCTGTTCTTCTATGATGACGTTTACAGGCGCCGATCAATACGGCAGCTGGGCTGAACACCGCTACACTGGAAATGGAAAATGATAAACTGTTTTATGAAGAAAGGATATCAAAGAAGAATGTCATTCAAATCTCTTTTACAGGTATGTCTGTTTATATTTTAAGATTCCATATCACATCAGTTATAAATGTTTACTTCAATGACGTCGAATACGCTTTGTTTACATTTGCTATAAACAAAATTTGTACCCCAATGTTTATGTACTATAGGTTTAGGCTTATGACAGACAATACGAATATGTGTTGTGGCATGGTAGCATAGATTTCATTTTCTCTATCTTGTCGTCTTTGTTTATTTTCGTAATTGGAAAAATAAATTTTCGAAATGTTGAAAAATAATTTTGTGGGTTCTTCTGTTGCATGTTTGATATATATTTTAAATTGAATTGATTTCATGATCAAAACATATCCGAATTTTGAGGTATTTTTTTCTCTATGAACATCTACAATTTGAATGAATGTCTTGATTTATGAAAAATAATTTGTTAGATTAATGTTTATTTCTTTTAAGAGTTACCTCGTGCGAAGCAGTGTGCCTTCGGAAAATATAATGTAATTATTTGAAAAACTTATTAATTGCTTAATAAAGAGCAAGAAAAGTTAAAAAATTGAACAAATGTTCAAAAAAGTTTGCCATCAATGTTAAATACAAATATATTTATATTTTAGCTGCTTGAGCAAATCGAAAAATTAATATCTACGAAGAATAATTCACTCAAATTTTAGTCTGACATTTATATCTGTAAGGGTTCCGATAATTCTGTTTATATTATTATATGTACTTCTACAATACTGACCAGAATTTATTTTTAAAAAACAGATTTTTAATAAAATCAAATTAATGATCATAGAACGTCTAGTATTTACAAATAAATTTTTATTTTTAACTGATATTTCAAATTGTGTTTTTGGATAACATAATAAGTCAAATAAGTTTCTGTATATATAATATTCAAAGCACCCCATTTTCCATACATGGCCCGTACAGGAGGTAATGGATGATTAGGTTACTATTGCTCAATCAAGATATTGGCCGAGACGTTTGTGTGAGGTCAAATATAATAGTTTAGTAAAATTAGGGACTAAAAAAATAAAGATGAAACTTGAAAGAAAGCGTTCATTATCATCTTCGTAATAACAGGTAAAATGTCACAAAGAATCCCGCGTCGGGCTTTGATGGGGAAACGTGGAGAATGACAGAAAGCTGATATTTTTTTAGTTTTTTGAGGATATCTAAAAAACTATGAGATTTTTCGCAAAGACAGTTCAGTACAATATTATTGGACATTAATATTCTATAAAAATTACCCTATACATGTTTTTGACAAAATCAATGGTTACAGATATACTTATGAGATTATATTTATTGTATTCTCACTTTAAGCTCAACATTGGTCCAGACCACGAAATTGATGTTGTTCATCGAGGACCATACCTTTTTAAAGTTTAATAAGTTTTTTTTAACATTTTCAATCCTTCAAATTATTATTCAAAGTTTCTTTCGTTTAATGATTCTTAAAAGTTATTGACAACAGAATTATATTAGATATCAATCAATGAGGAATTTCGTGATAATGATATGAAGTTTCTATTGTTATTAGTTTCAAATTATATATAATATGTGATATAAGACATTAAAATTTATAAAAAGTTACCATAAACCATGGTCTGATTACAGAGAACCAGAAAACTTAAATTTTGTAATTTTTAAGCCAAATACGTTTGGTTGTAACCATTGATTGATGTTGAATAAAAAGTAATAACTAAAAATAAGTGTTTAATTTAAGTTACTACCAATTACTAAATAAGATTAAATCTATATTAAATGCAAGCAAATTTTGTCTTTTTTAAAAAGATTTGAAGGAGACTTTTAAACTACTGTTAAGTTCGGGTTTTCATATAATCAAGAATTCTTCGCGATTTATTTTGCAACCCCCCAAATAGACTGAAGATACCATAGTTTTAGAAAAAAATCCTTGTTTAATAATCTTTAAATCAATATTAATTAAGTTGAGTTTACATTTTCTCTAATTGAGTAAAAATATTATTGGTACGGTAAATCGACCCAAACATGTTTCATCTTTTTACTCAATTAAGCGTGAATCTCAACTTACTCTGTAAAAAACCACAACTTAATTAATAATAGATTTAAAGCTTATCAAAGTATGAATGTATTTTTATTTATTTATTTTTTTTATTTAATGTTTTATCATGATCGATTTATTCTGTCACTCCAAGTTTTATTTTATTTTGTTATAATCTTGCTTTTCTTTTACTGTATTTATGGTATGTTTGTATTTCATTCATCCTAAACACTCAATGCCCTTAATTGAGGCAAAATTTATTTTTCCTAAATTAAAAAAAAAAAAAAAAAAAAAAAAGCTTATCAAATATTTTATGTATATTAAATGCATAATAAAAATCATAGCTTACTATGAAGTAATTGGTTGTAACCTAAATTAAACCTTTTTTTAGCTATTGCTTTTTTTTTATTCAACATAAAAATAACAAAATTTAAGTTGTTTTTTTTTTTTTTTTTTTTTTTGTGATCAGACCATGGTTTATGGTAACTTTTTATAAGTTTTAATGTCTTCTATCACATCTTATCAATTATATGAAATTAATGTCAATCAAAACTTGATATCATTACCACAAAATTAACCATTGATTGATATCGAGCATAATGTCTGTAAATAGGTTTGCCTCCGTCTAAGACGTTTATCTTAATTTTTTTATGAGAATTTTAATTCTATTTTATTTATTTTATTAGTACTATTATTTATACTTTCTTCCATCATTATGATATTTTATTTTGTTCTTACTTCGCTGTATATTATTTCGAAATTACCTTATTTATTTTTTGATTTTGTAAATAGGTGCGAATGTGGTCTCTGAACTCTATTATAAGTGTCCTTTTTTGAGATAGATTGTAATAATTATCAATAAACAAGTAATATAAAAATAAAAATACTTTTCTCAATAACTTTAATGAATTTCTGTATATAGTGTGTGAATGTGTTCATACATCACTATAATTATTGTCCACGTGAGAGGTTATTATATTTGTAAATAAAGAAATAAATAAAAAAAATTGTAGGTTGTACTAGAGAGGTCACAGTCATCGATTTCTACAAAATGTTCTTTGTGGTGACAATAAATCGAAAAATATTAGGCACATGTCCCGCTGCATAAATGATTGTGAGTAGATATAGCAAATAGACTCTAAGTCAATTAGGTATATACAGTTAGGTATAGAGCAAATAGACTAAGATATTACAAAAGTAATCAAAGTCAGGTAGTTCAGTATTGGAGTAGAATACTTAGCAGTTATGTTGGTATCTAATGGAAAACATCCAAAGAAATTACACTTATGATAGTAAATAACAACTTTTATTTATAAAAATTGACTATAATAAATGAAATAAATTATACTAGTCTTTTTTACTTTAACTTATCTATATATGTAATATCTAGAATGGGAAAGTATTGCGATTGTGAAAATTTCCGAACCTGCTATTTCAACGGAAATACACGTTTTGAGTTTCCCTCAGTCCAAATAACCAAGTTCCATAAAATGATGTGTGTGTATGATTTGACAGTCTAGCTCTAAAACTAAAAGCCGTACAAAACTGAAAATGCAACAAGATTATAATGACTACCTAATACTAAAATGTATAAAACGAATTTGAGGAATTCAGTTCACGTTTAATGTGACTTTTAATTTACATCCACTTAAAATTAATTGGACAGCCTTGGATCAATTATTGGTCTAGTTTATCTCATTAACGCAAAACTACACATTGCTTTGTTTATAAAAAAAATGTTTCATCCTGACAGTTTCTTTATATACAGTGTATATAAGGTTTTTGACTGGAATTATTTCTGTAATCTAATGTTTTAGATATAGTGATGTATATATATATATATATATATATATATATATATATATATATATATATATATATATATATATATATATATATATATATATATACTAAATAAAATGAACAGAGATATTTCTATTTATTGTTTATTTTATTGGTTTTAATTGAAATACCCTATATTTAAAAAAAAATAAATTATTAACTACAAAAAAGTCAACGTGAAGAATACTAATTTTTTAAACCAACAGTTGTTTCGACTTTTCTCAATTTTAATCCAGTAATATTCTGTTTAACGAAGGAAATACATCATATTTAACCAAAAGTTGTCAATATTATTGTGAGTATGTGCGGTTAAGGGCACCTGCAAGCGGATATCGCCGATGAAGTTGGCATTGCCCAGATTGTGGTCTCCCGAGCTTTAAACAGATTTAGAAACTGGAAGTACCAATAGGAGACCTATTACTGGATCTCAGCACTTTATGGCACTAACTGATGGCAGAAATGTTGGTATTACTGCAAGAAGCAGCCCTTATCATAGTGCCTAACAGAGCCCACAGGCGGAGTACTCCCTATATTGGAAGATAATATCTTTGTAGTTCGATATGTTGAAGAAATTATAGAGGGTTATATTCCTCAAACACGGTCTCTTATTGGCACAGCTTTCCATTTTCTTGACGATAGTAAGCGACTTTATAAGGAAAAAGTTTTTTACCAATGTTTTTATGAAAATCTTGAAATTTTATATCTACCCCTTCCCATATTGTCTGCACAACTCAATCCCATTGAGCACATGTTGGATTTACTGCATATAAGCCTTTGACCACCATTTGCATCTTTTTAACTTTCAGCAACTAAGACCAGTAATACCATGTTTAAGACATGAAATAATTTCTGAAACCAGGGGTAACATTATAAACAATATGCGTAATAGTGAATATTACATAAATTATCAAATTTTACGAAACGTTTACAATTTGCAATCAAAAAACCAAGATCACATAAACCTTTAATTTTATTATTATTTAAAAACATCTTTAATATGTAAAATTTCCAGAGATCAAATACAACCATATTTATATTAATTTTCTGAGAAGGAGTTAATCGGGGGGTGCGGTTAAATAAATACTTTTTTTTTTTTTTAACTTTCATTATTGAATATTAATACATTCTGCCACATTGAAGGGCATTAATATTAAGGC